CCAAGTATCAGTTACCCCACAGATTTTGGGGCTCTCATCCTCCTTTTCTACATTTTCAGATTTGTAGACTGCATGTGCTTCACTGTCAGAAAGCTTCAAGGGTTCAATAAGGTATGTCTCCCCTTGATGCTTGAAATGTCCTCTGTAAAATAGAATATAATAGGGTGGTCACAGATGCATAGCTAATAGAAGAGAATATTGTTAGTTCAGGGATGACCTGCACTGATGATGTTACCTAATTGGGTGATGAAATGTCTGCAAGGAAACAACTAACCTCTGAGAGCCATTTTTAACTGACCAAGTCAACATTCCCTGTGTTTTTCAATCCCTTTTTAAAACTAACTGAATTATTTAATTTCTATCCTCAGAACTGATATCATTTTTTCATGCTTCCCAAAGATTCAGCTATGATCAGAAACCTACAAGAAATTGCACATACTCAATACAGCCAGGAAATATCTGTACATTATTTCTATTGAGAAAGTTTGGCACGGAATCCAATATTGTATATTTCCTAGGGTTTAAAAGAAAATAAAGTTTCTATCTATACAAATGTAAGACTAAACCTATTTGAAAGATTCTGTTTTTGTATATATCTTGTACACTGAATCAAGAAATATTTATTCAGTCATAGATCAGCAAATCAAACCTAAAAATCACAACTAAATAGGATAATAGATAAAAATATAACTATTCTAAAATATCTAAAAATAATAAGAGGAAATACTACAATGAACTATACACAGTATAGTACAGTATTTAGCTGCAATCCAGGAAATAATATTAGATTGCCCTAAAAGCAATTTAAGATAAGAGTCAGGATGACCAGAATATTTAATAAAAATGGAAATAAGAATTCTTGGCAAGCATCTGCTTCGAGAGGGCAATGTAGAATAACATGAATAACAATGCAGAATGACAAGGAGCTGGAGCCTAAAACATATGATGATGAGTGCTTGCAGGAACCCAGTACATCTAGTCTAATGAAGAGAAGGACTAAGAGTGACATAACAGTCTTCCAAGATTTAAGGGGCTAAGAGGGGGACAATCTAATCTCCAAAGTATCTGAAGGCAGGACAAGAAACAGTAGATGGAAGGGGAAATTTCCTGACAGTTGGAACAATTAACCAATAGAATAGTTTACCTTCAGACAATGTGGGTGTTCCATCACCACTGGTTTTTAAAGAGAGATTGAAAGCCATTTCTCCAGAATGATATAGGTCTTGTACTTGAGCAGGAGATTGGACTAGAAGACATCTACGGTCCCTTCCAATTCTATTATTCTATCATTCTGTTCTTCCTTTATTACTCTGTTGTTATTATCTTATGTTCCATCATTTCATTTATTCCTCCACTGTATGGATATAGCCTCTGTACAAAGGGGATCTTTTAGTGCCTTTCTTCAATAACAGCTTTTGGGACAACATTGAATCCAACTAATAATTTTGAATTGTGGGGTCTTTATGTGGCTAAGATATCTAGCTGGTTGGAGAAGGTGTGCAGAGTGACTCAAGGAAGTGTTTCTGGGTAGAACTGAAAAGTCTGTTTGCCTCTTCCCGTAAACATTCTAGCAAGGTATGCAATCTGAAGCTTACTTATCTTCTCTATCTGTAACATTACCGCTATGTACGAAAGAGATATGGGCTTGGAACCTCCTTTATACAAATCTGATTTAGCTCCCTAGTATCTCTATTGGCTGGCAACAGCTGTTCTTGGTATTCAACCAAAGTCTTTCTAAATTTTGCAGAGGGCTTAGATCAAACCCAACTAATTTACATGAATAACTGATATCCTTAAATTTAATTATGACATCTCCAAGAGGAACATTTTATTCTTAACAAAATAAATAAAAGATAAGTGACTATCTTACTTCAAGCCATTGCATGCACTGATGACAGCAGTTGAGTCAGCTTCATTCTGGATGTGTCCATGATAATAGCAGTGATCCTGTGTGGAGGCAAGAGGACTACATTGGTTAAAGCTTGTTTGTAGTGTGATTTGATGAACAGATGTGCGGTTCCAATGCATTTCACCACATG